AGGGAACCATCTTCACTGACACCTTTAGCTCTCTCTTTGGGCTGATTAACACAGTATTTCTTGGTGATCCCTGTCAAAGACACCCTTCCTTTGGAAAATTACAGAATATCATTACGAATGCGTCTTAACCTGAGGTGCCTGCTGAGCACAGTTCCTCTGAACTGGGTCAGGCCACCATGACATCTGGAGGCTGGCCACCTGCCAGGCCATAGGCTGTTTATGGAAAATGGGTTAGGGAACCTACGATGAATAGTCTCGTGTTTCCAGAAAGGAGGAATTCACCTCTTGGACAGCACTTCCTGAGGCTTTATTTTTAGCCCAAATACCAAGTTCCAAATGCCAGAGGGCAACCCCTCATCACCTGCCCTTCCAGGGTAGCATTTCTTTATTCCTAACAGGAGGTATAGAAGTCAAGAGTGGGGAAAGTTTGCCTCATCTGTTACTCCTCTATCAATGTCAGAGTGAAATTTTAGGGCCTATGGTTTATAAAAGGCACTGTCCCTTGGGGAGCCTCCATACTCCTCAAAATGAATTTGTTCTTAACTTGGGAACAGAATCAGGAATGGAGGATATCCCAAAAGCTGCCGCCTGGTCCCAGAATAAGGCCTCTAGCTACAGGTTATGTCAGTTCAGAAACAGCCCCAGCACTACCAGGTTCCTGAGGAAGTACTATGACTTTATTTTATCTTAATGTACCAAAACCCCTGGGAAGAGACAGGCTGGGAACACAAGCTGATGAGAAGGGGTGTTAAATGCCCAATAGTGTTCGTGCATTAAACTCAGTTTTTAACCTGCCATAGTGGAAACTCTTCTCCCAGATCTGCCCAGTTATCTTGGGTCTAAAAAAGGTGATAATCGATCTGCAGGTGACCTTCTGGTTCATCATGCAGTATGAGCTGCTCCAGAAACCCTGGAGTAGGAGTGTCAAGCCCTGTGGCCAAGATACTCAAGGGCTCACAGGGGTTTCCAATAAGTATTCTTCCACTTTCTTTTGTGGGGGCGCTAATGGTAGCACAGGTGTGTGAGAGAACATGGCCAATGACAAAGTAGGCCTTCTTCATTTAAGGAGAGTTAGCCAGTTGAGATGGCAGGAGATGGGGAAAGGAGAGTAGGGATAGGCTAGTGAAGGCAATCTTCCCATTGGTTATAAACCCTAGACTCTCTTTTTTCTTTTTCTTTAAAGCCTACAGCACCTGGTATTCCTAGGTCATTTTTCATCCAAGTACTAGCCAGGCCCGACTCTGCTTAGCTTCCAAGATCAGACAAGACAGGGCGTGTTCAGGGCAGCATGGCTGTAGACTCCTAGACTCTTTCTTGCCTAGGCTACCCTGTTCCCTAGAAGCCATCTCAGTGGCCAAGCTGTTCGGCTGAGGCTCACCTCGTGAGTTCCATGAGAGAAGTTCAGACGAGCCACATTCATTCCAGATTTAATCATCTCCTTCAACATTTCCACCGACCGGGAAGCTGGGCCTAGTAAAGTTTTAAAGCCATAAGTGTTAATTATTCAAAGTAGGATTAACACTTTAAATTCGCTTATTTACGTATAAAGGACTCTTGATGTTTTATTTTTTCCCCGAAACAGCTCAAAATTCTTTCAAAAGCCACATACGTGGCTATCACTGTACTAGCCCACTTTCTTGATTAGGGGACACTTCTGCTATTTCCTTTAAATTCTACAGGCTCTAGTCAGGAAAGCCTGGGTATGACTTGGCCAGCCCTCTTTGCTCTCCATGGAGCCCAGTCAGATGTCCAACCACAGAATATTGGTTGCATAGAGCACGTCAAAGATCTTTTGTAGGTCTCTGACATGCTCCTACAAAGATGTGCTAATGAAGATACTCTCTAAATTTAGCCTTTAGCAGAAAACAGAGCATACTAATTCTTTATTGCAATTTCCTATGATCTGTGCAGAATCTTGCTCAGACCTCAGGTTTGCTACACTTACTTAGTCTTTTCAAAAGAGAAAAAATCACCATCACATGAAATCCTTGTTTTAGGGATGGAGCAAGCCACTCACCAATGGTACAGATGATGCCAGTGTTCCGGGCCGTGATGGGTGGCGAGTCAATGTCCAGGCGGCACATGTGCTCCAGGAACGTGTCAGCCATGGCTGCATGCAGCTGCTGGGTCTGGATGAAGGCAGTTCCGACATCACTATGGGGCTTCGACATGGCTTCTGAGGCCCTGGGTCCAGGGGAATTGAAGAGAGTGTGATCAGTCTAAGAAGCCCAGAGTGATTGAGACACTGTTTGGCACAAGAGGCCGTTTCCTGCTTACATATTAACTCAATAAACACACTTTGTGCACAAGCCACAGGGAGCCCTGCACGCTCTGGCTATATGGGTACTCCTCAACTTGGGCAAAGGGTTCACGGGATCATTAGAGAATAGAAAGTCTCTTAAAATATAGGTTAAAACCTCGTACCCAATGCATGTACTTCCCAGGCATCCACTGTAAGCACATCTCCCTCTCACTGGGCTTATTTCTACCTTGACAGCTTTCCGGCTAATCCTATAAACATTACATGTACTGAAGGAGCTTCCTCAAAAGGAAGTTGTAACCATTTTCCAATGACATAAATAACTGATTCCTAGTTTAGAACCTAGGTAAATCTAGATCTTTGTATCAAAGCTATGCACATCTGCTATGGCATGGGACACCCACACTGCCTCTTAACAATCTCCACCCAAACCCAAAATGATGGTCCTGGTTGTGAAGACAATCACCATCCAGTCTGTCCTAGCTCTGGAGTCCTAGGTTTTCACTAACCCAAAGCACTACATAAATTCATTCCTCAACCTCACCCTAGGCTCTAGAGTAGGTTCCAGCCCACTGACCGGGAATAAAACCCAGGCCCTGGACAAGAAGCCACGTCCCATCAGAACCCTGAATGCAAAATCTTTCATCCCAGGAATCTGTACCTAAAAACCATATATACTTTTTGGTCAGGAGGACTTTAGGATGTGCAAAGCAAGTTGTGTAAAATCAAGGATAACCACAACAGCACTGGTCTGGCTCCAAAATGATTACAACTACATTTGCAACATGAGGTTGCTGGTCAAATCTTCTCCCCAGCTGATTGTCTGATGCACCATCCTGATTCCTTTTCTAAGCCTGACAAGCGCACCACCCTCAGTAACAAAGACCATTTGTTCTAGGTAATTAACCAGCCTAGGTCACAGTCCTGACAACTGTTCTGGCCTCTGCTCTTCATTACTGACTTACAAGTAAACTCACTCAGCCGGTTAGTCAGCAGATTTGAGTGAAAAGTTTCTGGCCAGTGCTTTGAAGAACTGTCAGGTAAGGATGTAAGCAGAAGCTTGACACTCTTCATCAGAAGACTGTCCATTTCCTCAAGTTCTCAAACCAAGGGCCATTCCTTCTAAAACCCATAAACCTAAATGCTTCAGATCAGACTTAGGAACAAAACCCTCTTTAGCCCTGTCCCACCTCCTCCTAGATCTCAGGGTTCCAAATCAAGGCCCTCCCTACTCCTTCTCCACCTGTGACTTTGTTGCCTCTCTGGGTGGCTTGAGTAAGCATGCATTTAAACCCATCTCTGCCATCTTTAAGAAGTCTGGTAAAAGCACAAGAAGCTTTGTGACGAGTTATGAACAAACTTTCTGTCAGCTACAGAAAACTGATGTCTACAAGTCCTCAACTACAGAATCTAAAACTTTTAAAATGGGGAAATAAGATACCGGCTCACTATTCCACATGGTAAATGCACTGTTCCTTTCAATGTGCATTTCCTAACTCCTTCATACAAACCAAGTCCCAAAATGACAACGTCAACCTTCTCCCTCTGTGACCCATTTGGTTCTATATCTCTTAGCACCTAGCACTTGGAGGCAACCCAGTGTTTGTTGAATGACCTTTCAGTGTATCCTCATGTCTCTGTCAAAATCAAAGCTGTACTTTCACTCCCCACTCCTTACATCTGAGGAACTTCTGAATTACTGGCAGGATGGTCTGGGCAGCCAGGGTACTTTTCCCTGCACTCACAGCTGAGGTAGGGCTTGCATGCCTTCAGAGCACCCAGCCGGGTTTACTAAGTCTGGCTGTTAAGGGAACATTACTGAGGAGACAGTACCAGGTGGCACACGAAGCCAAGTGGAACACAAAGGCCTTGCTGCAGCCTCTGAGAGGCAAGAGCCATCCAATCTGAGGACTGTGTCGTGAACAAAATAAGATCTGAATGAGTGAGTTAAAGTAACTAACCCCACTCTTCTTAAAAAGCCTCCACTGGCTCTTCACTAGACCTGAGACATTAGGGTCTCCTTGCAAAGACCTGGCTGGGGCCACTGATTATCAGGTCATACCTTGTGTTCTCTGGGCTTGGGCTTCCGGTGACATAGTGCTTTTTTGGCTCAGGGTGGCTCCTTGGCCCCACTTGCAAAGACTGCTCAGAGCTGAGTAAGGTTTTCCCTGCAGAGCTGTACAAGGATTAAGGTAAAAGCTGAATGTAACTAAAGCTCCTTGGGGTAATGGAAAAATTATCTTAATAACCAGGTATCCAGGTAGTAGGTACTCTTAGAGATTCAGTTATGTTACAAAGAAAACTACGGAAGCCTGTCAAGAAAAGACCAAAATTTACAGGTAAAAGTAGTTCTTATTGACTCCTGTCCGACGCTTTATCTCCTCACCTCATACCAAATACCACTTTCCCTCAAAAGTCTCTCTAAACCTGGGATGTATTAACATCCTGCTATTCTATATAAGAACCCGATCGCTCCCCTTTTTTAGGTGGAAGGGACACTAGATTAAACATACATAAAAGGACTGGAAGGATATCTACCAAAGTATTAACAGTATGTTATTTGGGAGGTAGGATAACAGCATTTTTTTCTTCTCTTTACTAATAAATTTACTGACATGAAATTCATCTATAACAAGAAAAATTGCAAATATACCTGTTCCAAAAATGATATATTTACAAGCCTCCTGGTAAAAGTGTTAAAATTACAACAAGTATGAGGATCCCAGTTCCAATAAGCAACTGCTGCTTTAAGTGCTTCAGGAATACTGTTTGAATGTGGCAGAGGTGAGAGAGCACATCTGAGGCCCTAAGTCACAACGTTTCAATCGCTTAGGAAAGAAAAACAAACAAAAACAAAAAACCTTGATGCAATCAGACTCTCAAAGTGTACACGTGTGGGAAAGAGAGGGATGCGGGGGTTGGAGGGGAGAGGTCGGAGTTCCAGGGTTCACACTTCAGGTGCATAATCTCTGACAACACAGTTCTCTCATTTGGGGAGGGAGAGAGAGAGGGAGAGGGAGGGAGAGGGAGAGAGAGGGAGAGAGAAGAAAAAGTAGTTAATATAGTCCATAGGACAACTCAATGCCAGGCTCTCTTAGTTACGTGCCCAAATCCAGCAAACCTCTTTTGCTGTTTAGTCTGTCCTCAGGCTTCATAGCAAAATCTCCCTGACAAAGATGCTCTGGTTCAGAAAAACTGCCTCCAGGACCAGGAGATGTCATTAGCAGACACGATAATATAGGGCTCAAACACTAACACTATTTCACCATCTTGAATTAAATCTGAGGTTTAAGATTAAGAGCTCTGATCTTTTGTTCACCCAGGTGATTAAGAACAAAAAGTAACAAACAAGAATTTCTTTGGCATTTGGGTGGAAATACACATCAGCAATCAAAAAAGCTTGTTTGTCAGCAAGTTGGTCCAGACTCCTACAAGGTCTCAGCATGTCCTTAAAGCCCTCTACCAGAGACCTCATGTCTCATCCCTGGGTCATTAACTAGTCTCTCCTGCCCATCTTGAAGGTCCCCCATGAGCCTCTTTTCCCGAGCACAAGCTGCCCATCCCACCATCTATCTACCTAGAGTTTGCCTAAAACACCCTCTGGACTCTCCCTAGCCCCAGCACAGCAGCCTCAGCCCTGGCTTCTCAGGGTAGGCCTCTGAGAAGGCCTCCCCTACTACCTCATGCTAGCCATCTGGACAGTGCCTGCCAGGACATGCAGCCCAGCCACGTCAGTCTGACTCACTATTGCATCCTCCTCCTTGGGAGGCACAGACATGCAGAGCCAACCTCTGAACAGCAGAGGAAGCCCGGTGTATCCACTGATGGCGGAAAACATTGTGCCCAGGTACAGGAGCCTTATTCTTGAGCCTGAGCCCCTGCAGTAGGATCTTCCTCAGAGCCATTTCTCCTCTATGAGAAACGAGACACCACCAGAGGTCTTAGTGTGGGCTGAAAGGATGGAGCAGTCACAGCTCAGCTCTAGGAACCCCTAATTCTCACCTTTCCTTTCTCATCTCTAAAACTATAGTTTCTCTCTAAAATTATAGTTTCATTTGTGCCACTCTTTAGAAACCAGCAGGGGGTGGAAGGACTCAAAAAAAAAAAAAAAATCTAACACACCACTTAGAGCCAATACTGTTGGCAAGTTGTTCTGGAAAAGATTCACACTTCACTCCACCAATTCTATCTTTTGCAAAGGCCTAAATCATTCTGCCCTAGTAAACCCAGCCTGACCTATGAGCCCATATGTGCACGAACCAATTTTTAACCAGCCAGGGCTCTCTAAACCAAACTTTCTCTGCTGCCAATCTCACCAAACTAACCCAATAATGATGGCACCTGATGCCCGATTGTGTTCCTTGCTCTGACATCAATTTGCTACCTAGGCCTCTGGATCTCTAAGCCAGTATGAAGGCCTTTCAATTCCCAAATCTTCAGGTTAGTAACCATTAAAAAGTTTGCATCTCAATATATTGGACGGGGCACTCAGGCCAGCCTACTCCCTAGGAGCTCTCTTCCTAGATGATGTATGTGGCAGGGAAGTATAATCCAAAGACTGGCCACATCTGACCATGGCTGCAACAAAATCAAAACAGGTGCTGGGACAGCTACAGAACCTAGTAGAGTCTGGAGTGAATGGCTGTGCATCTTGATGTAGCGTGAGAGTAATGACAAAGATGTATTTGCATACAGAGTAGGGTATGAAGGATAAGCAATCTTTAGTGGAGAGATGTGAATCTGAAATCCATTCTACCTTCAGCAGGCCCCATAACAGAAAGCAAAGTCTGGTTTACCTGGTTACACAAAACAAAATTGGCATACCTAGCGGTTCAAGTAAAATTCCCTTGTTCTTTTATTTATTAAGGGCTAGAACTAAGTGACAAAAGCCTTATATAAGCAGGAGCCTAAGGTCCCATTTCAA